AAATCGAAACAAAATCGAAAAAATCATTTTTTTTGGAGAAACACTGACAAAAGTTTGAAGTGTTTGCAAAAAATTCGTCTTGAAATCACATTCCTAGAAGGCGTGGCAAAAAAACAAAATCGGTACTCTGAAAATGCTAGTTTCAAAAGCATTTTGGAGCACTGATTTTTTTTTGCCACGCCTTACAGGAATGTGATTCCATGACGAATTTTTACCAGAACTTAGAACTTTCGTAATGCTTCTCCCAAAAAAATTGATTTTACTGTTCCCCAAGCTCATTTGAGCTCGGGAGCAGAAAGGTACTTTCGGGCATGCTAGGACAAGTGTAACCATGGCAATATACTGGAGTTTCAAAACCACGCTATGCAAAGAACAGGTCAGATGCGCATATTGTGTGTGTGTGTGTGTGTTGGGGGGTATGGTGGGGGGTGTGGGTGGGGGTGGGGGCGTGCATGTATGCATGTCTGTGTGTGCGCGTCGCACCCGAAAAACTTGAAAAGTTAACAATGTTTTAGGCTTTGATTAGACTAAATTAAACCCCAAAAAACGAGAGTTGTCTGGGCTCGGGGTGTTCTTGGAATAGATAAGGGTTGCCATTACCTAGGGACTCCAGGTAACTAGATCGCGGTAAATGATGTTTTGCATGTGTTGCAAGGCGGTCCACAATTTTTTTATTATTTATTCTTTCTCATTTTTTTCTTCATTTTTTTTCTTTTTATTCCCTTGTATTCTGTTGTACTACTCCTTCCATTCCACAATGTACTGCGTCCGTGCTTTCTGAGATCTAAGTTTGATCATAAATTTAACCAACAAGACCGACTAGGGCGGGAGCAAAAATTATACCACTAAATTCATATTTGTGAATTATATCTCAGAAAGTGCGGGCACAGTACATTGTGGAATGGAGGGAGTATTGTTTTCTTTCATTTTTTGTATGTTTCCTTTCTATTTTTTAAACATGACTATTTTTCAAATCTGTGAACAGTTTTGATTCCATGAACATTTTAAAAATTTCTTAAACATGATTTAGATGTGAGAACATTATTGTAATTTCTTTAACAATTTTAAAAATTGCGACCTGTGACGAATTTCATTTCCATTACTTTAAAAAAAATCCATGTTCTTTCTTAAGGGTGTGAATATTTTTTACAGCCCATGCCAACAAAATTAATTCATAAGTATTTTTTGGGTCTCCTTTTTTTATAACCGATTTTTTGTATTTTTATCTATATTTTTATTATAATAATATTTTTTAGCTCAACTAGTACATGGGCCCAACCCATCTTAGCTCGGACGCAACACAGTGCGTGCTTGCTCTTAGCATGGGATAGGAGCCCTCATAGATCACCTACAAAGGGCATCTTGTCTCAAAAAAAGAAAACCTACAAAGGGCGTCGGCTCCGAGAAAGTGAAGTGAAGCAAATAACCACGAGCCCTCGTTTTTTTGCAAGAGATGATGGTTTGTGAGAAATACTATCTCCGTCCTGGTTTATTGGCCCCCTTCGTACTTTGTGTCAAATTTTAACCTTAAATTTAACTAATAAAATTTTAATGCATGTCACCAGAAATAATATTATTCAAAACTATGTTTAAATACGAATCCAACAATTTTTTTTTGGTGACATGCATTAATATTTTCTTAGCTGAATCTATAGTCAAAGTTTAACACAAAATACAAAGACGATCACTAAACCAGGACGGAGGTAGTACTAGAGTGCGAGTCCCTCGAGAAGATGAACCTTTATCGAAAAAAGTGCAGGCTAACATTAGCTTCTGACATTATTATATTTTTGAGTTTGCTAATATTTACATCTTTTTTTTGCGGAAAGCTAATATTTACATCTTGATACCTGATTAGGCATGAATCAATACTTTGGGACATAATTTGAACTTCTAAAGGTATACAAAAAAATATACCAAGCTGTCGATTTGGGGTTTGCTTCTGGAAAGAGGACACGATTGCTCTGCCACAAGTGCGATGGTCTTATCAATAATGTTTACAAGAACGAGGAACGCCTATTGTCAAGATTGAATGCACTATAGTCCTTCATCCTATGACTCCGGTGTTCCTTTTGCTCTATGACAGCAATCTAAAGTTCAGAACTGTTGTGATGTATACACCTTGAAAAGCACGGTTGCGCTACTTGGTATTGGATTATGTGAATCGAGTAAATACGACCAGACACCCACCTATGAAATTTCTGTCATCTTGTTTCCCATATTTGATAGTGATTTTTTTTCTTTTCTCCACCAGTATAATTGTGCATAATTTTAGCAGGAGTGCCAAATTCTGATTGTATTTATTTTACAAAACTTGAAGGTCTTTTTGTTGTGCAATTCAGCACTTGTGCATGTATGTTGCCTTCAATTTTTTACTGAGTCGTCTCCTTGTATCAAGTGTCATAATCGGTGTTTTTCAGATTGTTCATGTGGGAGGGTCTCCAAACCCGTAGGTATCAAAGGAAGAATGCATTGAAAATATTGAAATATGTCTATGAAATTTTCTCTAGAATGAGAATGGTTGTCTTCAGTTATGGAACAAACTTCTTTTTTTGTCAGTGTATTTCGAACCCAGAAAAGAAGAGAAGTCACTGATTCACTGTGAATATCAATTCAACTTGATATACTTGCTGCATTGCTGTAGCATGTCCTCCAATGACAGATTCTCATTCTTTCATCCGAACTGTTTTGGAGATCTAAATATAATCTACAAAAAACTTGCTCCAATGCAATGCATCACTGTTGTTCACTTTTTTTTTCTAAAATATGCATAAGCATGTGTATCATATATCCATAGAAGAGACGGTGAAGAAACCCATCCACAGTTATACATTACAAGCTTAATGACCATTGAGCAAAAGTGTAACGCTGGCTATGCATCTTCAGTCATGGACTGCTCTTTGATATTCTACTTGCATTCTGAGCCACATTACATAGTACCATTAGAAAATCTCTCCAATCATAGAACTTATATTATGCATCAGTAAATTATATAATTTAAAGTTAATTGTACCATTAATTTTTTCTACTCCCTCCGGTACAAAATAGGTGTCGTCGTTTCAGTTCAAAATTTAATTGACATGCTTGACTGTTCTAGCATCAGCTTACCAGAAAACATCCAGGTCCCACAGGAGCACTGTTGTGAACTGCCCAGAATGAGCCGTGTTTAAGTGTGTGCGCGCGGGATCGGTTGGAGAATAGGTACATAGAAATTGGTGTTGGTATTATTGTGGCCAAAATTACCCCGTGGTCTTGTTTCAAAAAAGAATACCCCGTGGGCGACCACTAAAATTCTCTCAAGAAATACTAGCAATGTGCCTTATGATAAACACTTAATCAAGAAAAACTGTACTAGTTGGAGACATCCTTGTAACTTGTATTATAACTGTGTTTGTAGTTTTGAGATTATACAGCACAAAAGTAGGGTTGAGACACTTTCAGCATTGATGTTTTCGTCAGGAAAGCACTCTTTTATGGGGAAGACCATCATGGCTAGTTTTATTGGATTAAAACAGGTTTACATTGTCTACGAGCTTGCTGACAATAATGTCAGGAGGCTCGTCCAACCAACTACTAGACGTCTTATTACAATAACAAAAATGAGCTAGCACATGAGTTGCTTAACTACACGAATGATAACAATGCTTAAAAATGACCTCCCCAATCAGCACACTTGTATCCACACAATCAGCGAAGATGGCCGCCGCCGAATCCCACTAATTTGATTGGCCATTCAAGGAATTTATAACTTACATAGAATCTGACTCCGCTTCTAGTCTGTTGCACCCCGATGAGTTAGCAAACACTAGTCCATCTCTCAGTGCCAAAGCTTCTGTAGATGTGACATCCGCTGCGTGAGGAACAAATTTGCACTGAGCCCTCAGAAAATTACCTCTTCCATCTCGAATAATTGCAGCTGTAGCTCCCACACCTTCATCAGGAAAGCACTGTTTATGTGTACTACACAGAACTGAACTGAACGAGTGTATTACATCTGTTCATTCAGGTTCAGAGGCACCCAAGCGGAATAGTTATTTCGAAGAACTTTGACACAGTACTACTCCCTCCGTTCCATATTACTTGTCGCTGATTTAGTACAAAGTTGTACTAAATCAGCGACGAGTAATATGGAACTGAGGGAGTACCATTTATAAGGTACAAAATCAAAGCAATTAAGAACACAGTAGCTAAAACTGGCAGGTCATTTCACATGCTTGGGGTAGGATACATATTCTCTTTATACTCCTGAATGTGACAAATCTTCAGGATACTCTGTCCACTGGAACAGAACATCAAGCAAACAACTGCTGCTTCGACAGGCAGAACAGGGAATGGCATGAGATTCTGACCAATCATTGCCAGTGCTTCCTCGATGCTCTGGTGCGTTATTTAGGAGTTGTCGGTGATGCGACCTACTGTAATATTGCAGGCACGGTGTGGAAGCCTGCGGCCTTTCCTGGACCTGAAGATCTGAAGACAGGGAACCAACCACCAAGTAACTTGTACTAGTTCAGAGCATGGTTCATGGACTTGGGAGATTGCAGTATAATTAGGCAAAGTAGGGATGCTTTCAACAGAATATGTGCACTAAACATCAAACTGGTCGATAGACGGAACTGAAGACGAGCACACTAGCGGACAAGCAATTTTTTCCAGGCACCATCTTAACTGCTCGTTCGTTCTGGTTCAGAGGCAGCTACTAGCTAAAAATTGACGGTCTAATGATAATTAAGCTCAAAATCAGAGCAAAACAGAATAAGCTAGCTAAATCAGGCAAGAAATTTGACAAGTTGGGAACAGGCATTCAGGCGCAGATGTATGAGAACAGGAAGCCAACACTTTTCATTTCCATTGCTGATGGCAACAAGAAGGTACCATCAGATTAGGCACAACACATCCACCATGACAAGAACAGCACAGGCATATTCTGAAACACCACTAGCACACACACTTCCACGGACGAACTCAGCCTAACAAGGATCTAACACACGACGAGCAGCTTAGGCCCTCTCGCCACGGATGCGGCGGGCGAGCTGGATGTCCTTGGGCATGATGGTGACGCGCTTGGCGTGGATGGCGCACAGGTTGGTGTCCTCGAACAGCCCGACGAGGTAGGCCTCGGCGGCCTCCTGCAGGGCGGAGACGGCGGAGGACTGGAAGCGGAGGTCGGTCTTGAAGTCCTGGGCGATCTCCCGGACGAGGCGCTGGAAGGGGAGCTTGCGGATTAGCAGCTCGGTGCTCTTCTGGTACTTGCGGATCTCGCGGAGCGCGACGGTACCGGGGCGGAAGCGGTGGGGCTTCTTAACGCCGCCGGTGGCCGGGGCGGACTTGCGGGCGGCCTTGGTGGCCAGCTGCTTCCTCGGCGCCTTGCCGCCGGTGGACTTCCTCGCCGTCTGCTTGGTGCGGGCCATGTCGTCGGAGATGCGGCGGGAGGTCGAGGCGGAGTTGGTTGTCGCGCTTGGGGATTTGGGGACTGGGGTGAGGAGGAAGAAAGGGAGGGATGGTGTTAAATAGAGGAGGAGACGCGCGCCGAGCGGGCGGGGGATTTTCCCGGGGAGGGCGCGTGAGTTTTGCTTTTCAGCAGGGAAGATGAGCATGGAGCGTTGGATGCGTGGTGCGTGGACGGTGGAGATTTGGTATGGAGGGAGAGATCCGTGGGGTGGTGTTTCGCGTGCTGTGATTGGTTGGGTGCGAGTGACGCGGATCGGTTTCCCTGCTCGGTACAGTACAGGGCCGGCCGGTTCGTTCGCTCGCAGCTGCGTTCGGTATTTCCTTTTCTTTCGATTTTCTCGCTTTCATGGCTTTTTTTTCAGTTCCTCTTTTCCTTTGTTTTTCTTTGGTTTTACTGTATTCCAACGGTTTTAACTGGGTTTTATTTTTTTCCTTTGGTTTTCGTTTTCCTTTCTTTGTTTTTCTATCTTTTTCTTCACCAGATTTCTTTGGGGTTATTTTTGGTTATAAATTTGTTTTTCACTGATTTTCTTCCGTTTTTCTTTCATCATCTAACTTTGGTTTTTTTGTTTCTTTCTTGTTTTCTTTTGTTTCTTTTTTTTGTCGGTTTTCTTTTTTGTTTAACTCTTGTTTCAATAACATTCAACATCTTTCGTATATATCGAAAATATTTCTTATATACATGTTAAATATTTTCTAAATACATGATTGTTTTTTATGTCTACTTTTTTTCCATGCACATTGTACATTTTTCGTACATATCAAATATATTTTCTAATAAACATTTAACATGTTTCAAATAAAAGATTAACATTTTTTAATACATCGTCAGTACCATTTCCACACACATTTTAACATTTTTGAAAATAAAAAATTAATAATTTTTTAATACATGGTCAACATTTTTTTGATACACATTTTTAGATTTGTTAAATGCTTGATTAAAAAAAAATTAAATACAAGACTAAAAAATTGAATACATAGTCCACATTTTGCCATACACAATTAACACTTTTCAAATGCCTGATTATTATTTTTCACATACAAGATTAACATTTTGTAACATGGTCAACATTTTTCTGATACACATTTACATTTACAAATGCTTCATTAACATTTTGTAATGCATGGTCAACATTTTTTTCGATACAGATTTACATTTCCAAATGCTTGTTTTAATATTTTTCAAATACAAGATTAACTTTTTTTAATACATGGTCAACATTTTTCCATACACATTTAACATTTTTCAAATACAAAATTAACATTTTGTAATACATGGTCAACATTTTTTTCTATACACATTTACATTTTTAAATGCTTGATTAACATTTTGCAAATACAAGATTAACTTTTTTAATACATGGTCAACATTTTTTGAATATATGGTCAACATTTTTGAAGAGAAGAGACCGAGAGGCTCCAAATAAGTCGGGGAAGCTCCTATTGCACCCGCATGTGTCAACCACGCGGTAGTTCAAACCGGCATACAGTGGAAGCCCCAATTTCAAGCAAAAACTTGAGGTATTGATTTGTTTGTTGTTCCATGTATGACTATATTCAATCCAGGTGAGATGATTGGACATCTGTATAAAGGCCCACGCAACGAATATGTCAACCAATGATGCAAGACCAGCGACCAAGGGCGAGGATATGGTGGACTGTTGATGTGTCACCAAGCGCTGATTAATGGAAGTATAGAGTGTGAATTCATTTTTTTATTATTTTTCCTAGGGTAGTGGATTAAAGCATATGTGATATGTTAACATTTCAGCCACATTAAGTTTGGGATTTCAAGGATGTACATCAACAAATATTTCGTCTCAAAGATTACATTGATGTTATATAGTTTGTACCTCCACTAATGTTATGTAATTTGTGCCATCCTTTGGACTAGCAAGGTCAAAGTTTATGTAATCTGGATAACAAATATTGTGTCTATAAATTTTTATTTTTGTTGTCAAATTGTAATATGTAAAGTATGGGGGTGATAATGTATATTTGCATTTGAATACATTTTTTATGACATCATGAATATATAAGAGCCCTATGATTTGTTGTGTATCTTGCTTTCCCTCGCTAAATCTCCTATTTTGATGTTAGGTCTTTGGTTCCTATTTTGGTGTTAGATCTTTGACTCTGGAACCGTTGTCGGAGATGGTGGAGTGATTCGAGTTGCTCCCTGTCGGTGTACTAGAGTAGGGGTACCCTAGTATCCCGAACTTGTGCACGGGCAGTTGCAACACCCCGCGGCAAGGCTTGCCGGGTGACCGCCAAGGCCCTCCGTGGTTCCCGTGGAGCCATTCAAGAACAAAGTATTCAAGCCAAGGAGACAAGGCCCCCGCAAGAGGAGCTTGCCGGGAAGGCCAACCAAGGCATCTCAAGGAACTTGCCGCGACGCGCCACGCGTCCCGGTGAGGCCCGGTGAGCGACAAGCTTCCGGACGCGACAAGACAACGACCGCGGCAAAGCGCTTGCCGCGGCAAGCTACCACTCTGTACCCGCGCTCTAACACATCCACCAACGTGTCGCCCTGGGGCCTTTCCAGGCGCGCGTGGCAAGAGGCTGTGCAGCTAGCGGTGCGCGGTGGCAAGCGACGCTGACAAGATTGCCATCGTGGCGAGCGGTGGTGTCCCTGACGGTCCCTTTTTGCACTATTTGGGCGACGTAGACGGGCATTTAATGCCTTTGTCCCCTGCCGTCAGGGTGAGGTACGATACACTGTACAGGTAGTTGTACCAACCGCAATTCCTTTTCCATTTTTACCCTTGTCTACGTTGCCACCTGTCGGAGACCCCTTTAGCATATAAAAGGAGGCCCATGCGCAACGTAGAGGGGGAGGTTCGAAGGCAGAAAAACACGCTCGGTCTCGTTAGCAGCTAGTGTGTACTATAGCACTCAGCGCTCCCGAGCAAGAACTCAATACACTCAGACATGCAGCAGTAGGAGTGTTATCTCTCCGGAGAGCTCCGAAGCTGGGTAAACTGCCCGTGTGCTTCGCCTCGATCCGCTCTTCGTGCGATCTCCGCCCCCCGCCAAACCGAAAGGGGCTCGGTCCGCCGGTCCCATAGGTGTTCGTGGATCAGCTTCCCCGACATCTTTGGCGCGCCAGGTAGGGGACGTTGAGGTTGTGTGAACCTGATCCGGTGTTCACACGAGCTAGATCTTCATCTTCTTCATCGACATGCCACCGAAGAAGAAGGCTTCGGCGGCAGCTGTTCCGTCCACGTCGATCCCACCACCATCGGAGCAAACGGGTGGTGGGGCAGACGCCGATGGAAGAACGGGCATCGACGAGGGAGCTCACGGTGCTGCCAGGTCCAAGGACAAGGTTGCGCAGACCTCGGCGTCCGTACATGCACCGCACCCATCTAGGAGGCGCAGGACCGACAGCGTCATGGTATTCGCAGGGCCATACGTTCGTTGGACCAAGATCAAGCTAGTGGATCTCGGGGTGCTCAAGACCAGTATGCACGCCAACATGCTGGCACGAGCGAGACACGGTCGCCTGGACGGGATACTGCTCCTTCTAACATAGTTAGAAGTCCGAGCATATCCCGCTCCTCGCACCGTTCGCCACTGCCGCCCACCACTCCAACAGAAGCTTTGGCGCGCCAGGTAGGGGGCGTTGAGGTTGTGTGAACCTGATCCGGCGTTCACACGAGCTAGATCTTCATCTTCTTCATCGACATGCCACCGAAGAAGAAGGCTTCGACGGCAGCTGTTCCGTCCACGTCGATCCCACCACCACCGGAGCAAACGGGTGGTGGGGTAGACGCCGGCGGAAGAACGGGCATCGACGAGGGAGCTCACGGTGCTGCCAGGTCCAAGGACAAGGCTGCGCAGACCTCGGCGTCCGTACATGCACCGCGCCTATCTCAGGAGGCGTAGGACCGACAGCGTCATGGTATTCGCAGGGCCATACGTTCGTTGGACCAAGATCGAGCTGGTGGATCTCGGGGTGCTCAAGACCAGCATGCACGCCAACATGCTGGCACGAGCGAGACACGGTCGCCTGGACGGGATACTGCTCCTTCTAACATAGTTAGAAGTCCGAGCATATCCCGCTCCTCGCACCGTTCGCCACTGCCGCCCACCACTCCAATAGAAGCTTTGGCGTGAGCTCAACTGCTCCTGGATTACCCTCCAACGGCAGACAAGATCGATGAATGGAGGGCCACCATTCAGAGTCTCATCGGCTTCGCCAACGGCGACACTCCGCGGCAGCCGAGTACATCGCTGTCGCGGCAGGACTGCCGGGCACGAGCCGATGGCGACGAAACCGGTGGGGGTGCAACCACCATGCACTCTCCACCCCGAAGGCCAAGATCGCCGACTCGCCGGATCCACCTCGACAGCGACTCCACCGCATCATCAGATCCACGAGCTCGTCGCGATCAGCGCCAAGTTCTTCACGAACGATAGCAAGAAGAGGAAGTTGATTTCTGGTGACTATTTTCCGGCAGAGCTCCCCGAAGTCGCCGCCAAGAAGGTCCTCAAGATCAACACCAAGGGTGCTGAGGAGCAGTCTGCTCCGGCAAGCCCTAGGGTTTGTTCCGTTGAAGCAGACGCTCCCGACAAGTTTTGCTCCGGCAAGCTTGCCGGGGAACGTCAAGCTCCGGCTGAGCCGCAGGTTCTCGCCGTACAAGCGGATGTTCCCGCAGCAGCAGATGTGCCTTTAGTCCTTGTTGTCGAGCTGCAAGCTCCAGCATGGGCACAGCAGATTGTCCGTTTCCTTCAGACAGGAGAACTTCCCGAAGAGCAAGAAGAAGCGGAAAGAGTAGCCCGGCAGTCAAGTATGTACCAGTTTGTCGACAACACACTGTACAGAAGAAGACTCAACGGCATGAAATTGAAGTGTATTCACCGGGAAGACGGACAAAAGCTGTTGGCAGAGATACATGGAGGCATATGTGGTCACCACATTGGCGCAAGAGCACTTGCCGGCAAAGCGTTTCGGCAAGGTTTCTTTTGGCCGACAGCCCTCCAGGATGCAACTGCACAAGTAACCAAGTGTGAAGCGTGCCAGTTCCATTCCAAGCAGATACACCAGCCAGCTCAAGCTCTCCAGACGATCCCTTTATCCTGGCCATTTTCGGTCTGGGGGCTCGACATCCTCGGCCCTTTTCCCGAGCTGTCGGGGGCTTTGAGTACTTGTACGTTGCAATCGACAAGTTCACAAAGTGGCCAGAAGTGGAAGCAGTGAGGAAGGTGACAGCACAGTCAGCAGTCAAGTTCTTCAGGTTGATTGTTTGCCGCTTCGGGATCCCTAACAGGATCATCACCGACAACGGCACACAATTCACGAGCCGCACCTTCATGCAGTACGTCCAAGATCTTGGCGCCAAGGTCTGCTTCGCTTCTGTTGCTCATCCGAGAAGTAACGGTCAAGTGGAGAGGGTGAATGCTGAAGTGCTGCGCGGGATCAAGACCAAGACTTTCGACAGGCTATGCAAGTGCGGAAAGAACTGGATTGAGGAGCTGCCGGTGGTTCTTTGGTCGGTCAGGACGACGCCAAATCGAGCCACTGGCCAGACACCTTTCACTCTAGTCTATGGAGCAGAGGCAGTTCTCCCCACGGAACTCGTATACGGGTCACCTTGAGTGCTCGCTTATGATGAGCTTGAGCAAGAGCAGTTGCGACAAGATGACGCGCTGCTCCTTGAGGAGGACCGTCTTCAGGCCGCTGTACGAGCTGCTCGATACCAGCAAGCTTTGCGCCGCTGCCATAGCCGCAAAATTAATGCCAGAAGTCTCGAGGAAGGCGACCTTGTTCTTCGGCGCGTTCAGTCCGCCAAGAATTCCAACAAGTTGACGCCGAAGTGGGAAGGCCCTTACCGGGTGAAACGAGTCACTAGGCCTGGCGCTGTCCGTCTTGAGACCGAAGATGGCATTCCGGTGAGCAACTTGTAAGTGCATCTAGTGCCCCTTAGTGATTTTGGTGTATTGGAGACTTATAGGTTAAGGGACTAATGCGTTTGTGAGTATACACAGGCCTATAAGTCTATGAGGAGTTTGATATTTATAGAGAAAGTCGACCCCTAAAAATGAAGTTCTTCAACTGAAGACTTTTTGAAGACTTTGAAAGTGAAGAAATTGGTGTGACCTTGAAGACTTGGTATTCATTTGTGGAACATGAAGCGTGAAGACTTTTGTTTTCATAGTTTCATTTTCTCTTTCTTGAGTCATAGGAAACACCGTACTGTTAAAGGGGGTCGAGGAAATACTAAGGAAAAATTTCCATGTGATGCTCAACTCAAAATCCTACACCTACCAATCCCTTCGAGTGAAGCCTTTGGAAATCTCATACAGTTCAGTCACTTTCTTCAGTGACAGAGACGAAGTTCTTCTGGTTGCTGATGAATCTGCTCTGATTGAGGAGTTAGGAATTCGCCAGTGCGGATTGCCTACATAGTGAGGAACATGATAGCCCTGAGGAATTTGAGAGTCAAATTTCCGACCGTTGCTGTGCTGCGCGCCAGCTGTCCCAAAATATCTTATCCACCTAACGGTCATATCATTGAGGGGCATTTATGTCTTATCATGTCGGGCTGCTCCCTAGGCTATAAATAGCCGCCCCTACAACCACTAGCTGGTTGGCTGCTCCGAGAGAACTTGACACTTGTCATTTGAGAGCAACCCATCCTCCGAGGACTTTGAGCGAAAATCATCGAGTGAGGAAAATCCCAAAAACCCAAACACCTCCAAACCCAAAGTGATTGAGCATCACTGAAGAAATTGATCCTGCGTGGATCCGATGCTTGTTACCTTTGAAGACTGTGCTTCTTCCAGACGGTGAGGCGTCAAGGTCTAGAGCATCCAAGAGGAATTGTGGATTGCCGAGTGACCAAGTCTGTGAAGGTTTGGAAGTCGCCTGAAGACTTACCACGAGTGATTGGACGAGATCTGCGTGATCTTAGTTCAAGGAGAATATGGTGAGGACTGGGTGTCCTGAGCTGCGTGCTCAGAGACTGGGTGTCCGGGACTGCGTGTCCTCGGGTTTAAATACTCAGCCGCTCCAACCAGACGTACAACTGAGACAGCAGTTGGAACTGGTCTACCAAATCATTGTCTTCACCAACCTAACTGGTTCTATTTCCTCAACCCTTTCATTTCCTCATTACTGTGTTGAGTGTTTGTTCATATCTGTGTTTGAAGACTTTGACTGAAGACTTTCTCAATTTCCTCAGTTCAATTTCTTCAGTGTGTTTGTCTTCATCTTGTGTTATCCTGTGATTACGCTTTCTGTACTCTGTGCTAGTCTTCATTTCATCATGATGACCATGCTTGTATTCTGTTATGCTTACTTCTGAGTACTTATTCCGCTGCTAATAGTTCTTCGCTAAGGAATTTCCTCACCGGCAAATTCCCTAGTGAAGAATTCATAAAAATCGCCTATTCACCCCCCCTCTAGTCGACATAACGCACTTTCAATTGGTATCAGAGCAAGGTACTCCCTTGTTCTGTGTGATTTTGGTTTAACCGCCTGGAGTTTCAGTTATGTCGACCGCAGGTATGAAGAAAGTGACATGCCCTATCTTTGACGGTCATGATCATCCCAAGTGGAAGGCCATGATGAGGAAGTGCCTCATGGCAATGAACAACGAGCTGTGGACCGTCACTGAGATTGGTCTTACTGATCTATGCAAAATGGCGGACGCTGATGATATTCGCAAGTACACTCGAGTTGACATCTTGGCGAAGGATATCATCTGTTCCTGCCTATCCAGAGATCAATTCAGGCTCATTATGCATCTTTGCAATGCAAAGCTTATCTGGGACCGAATCTCTGATGTCTATGAAGGTCATCGAACCCGTCATGATCCTTGGTTTGAGGACTTCAAGGAATCTCTCAAAATGATGACTTTCGAACCAGAATCATCATCTTCTGCATCATGTCTCATGGCAAAAGGTGACGAGGTAACCGAATGTTCCTCATCTGAATTCAGTGACTGTGAATCTGATGATGATATTGAACCTAGCTACACCAGACTTGTTTGCATTGCCACCAAACAACAACATGCCTTGGAAAAGGTTCAAAACATGCTAGGCAAAAGTGATGATATGTTGAGTGAAGAAATGGATCGCACTAAAGCCCTGACTGAAAATCTTCAGAGACTTCAGTCTAGGTTTGATAACCTTCAAAGTCATCATAACACTCTCTTATCTGATCATGAGAAACTTTCTTATGAATTTCTTCAAAGAAAGCAAGACCTTGAGAAGCTAAGAGTGAGTTATGAAGATCTTCAGAAGGAGCGCGATTCATTACTAGCTCAACAAATCAGCGCTTCTCAGGAAGAATTTGTTCCTCCATGCTTAAAGTGCATTGAACGTGAATCTGCTAATTCCTCACCTGAATGTTCAAATGCTTCAACTGTTACAAATTCTTCACCTGCCTCTGCTATCACTAATTCCTCATCTGAGGACATTGCTAGTATCACTGACGATGCAGGGCTGAAGGAATTGTACACAACAGGCATGTACAAAAGCCTCAAAGGGCATCAGATTCTTTGTGATGTACTCAAAAAGCAGATCCTCAACAGAAACCCTAGGAAAGAGGGTATTGCTTTTGAGAGGAAACTCAATGCTGATGGAACATATTGGAAGCCTGAGCAGTACCCCAAAACCTCATGGGTTGCTGCAACGGGACCTCCAGTTGATCCATCTAACTTATCTGGCTTTACATGTGAATCTTCTCATTCTTCTGATGAGTCATTTGACTCCAACTATAAACTGTTCAAAAATCAAGATGGTGAAGTATTTGCTAGATATGTTGGGACTAACTGCAGGAACGGTTCCCCTATGAAGAAAATCTGGGTTCCCAAAAGTTATGTTGAAAGTCTTCAGGTGAATGTCCTCATGACACCACCTGTGAAGAACAGGAACCCCAGATCAAACTCTTCATATGGACCTAATTCTTCATATGGATCCAAGTCCTCATATGGACCAAATTCCTCACGTGGATCAAATTCCTCAAATGGATCAAAGTCCTCATATGATTATCATCGTGCTAACAACTCTGTTTCGCAGGGTAGAGCTAAGGGCTATGAATATGCACATTATTCTTCAAATCATTATGTTCATAAATCCTCGAAGAATTTCTCTGCTTATTCATATGCTTACTCTAACCCCTCTTATGTGAAACGAAATGGTTTGGCCTCTATGCCACCGTTCTCATATGGTGCTCGCAGAGTGATGAACTCTTTGCCACCCCTTCAGATGTGGGTGGTGAAGAAAAAGAACTAATCTCTTTTGCAGGGTCAGGTCTCCAGACGTGCTTTAATGTCTGAAGAATTTGCTGGGGACCTGACAAAATTTGCCTGAAAGGATGCAGGCTAATCATGATGAAATGAACTTTCATTTCACACGTCCTCATACTGCTATATCTGCTTACTACTTGATGAAATTCATCTGATGAACTTGATATCATATTCTTCATTGATGAAGCATATGAGATTGTAAGTTACACTAATTCATCTGCAGGATGATCAACCCAAAACCACTAAGTGGGTCCTCGATAGTGGATGTACAAATCACATGACTGGTGACAAGAATCTTCTGATGGATGCTCCCTTTTCACCGTCTCATCTGAAGCACATCATCTTTGCTGACAAAGGCAAAAGTCAGGTATTGGGTCTTGGTAAGGTTGCGATCTCTAAGGATAAACACATGGACAAAGTCATGCTTGTTGAGTCTTTAGGATACAACCTCATGTCAGTCTCAATGCTTTGTGATCTTGATATGGTTGTTGTCTTTGGCAAGTATCGCTGTGTTGTGATTATGGAAGCTGACAATTCCAAAGTCTTCGAAGGCTTTAGGAGAGGAGACTTGTATATTGTTGATTTCTCTACAGGACCACAACCAGCCGTGTGTCTACTTGCAAAAGCTTCAGAAGGCTGACTATGGCATCGACGACTTGGTCACGCAGGCATGAGGAATTTGCACACGCTTGCGAAGAATAAGCATGTCATTGGCATTGAGAATGTCAAATTCCTCAAGGATCACTTATGCGGAGCCTGTGAAGCTGGAAAAATGACCAAGGCCAAGCATCCAGCAAAGACTATCATGACCACTACTCGTCCATTCGAATTGCTTCACATGGACCTCTTCGGACCTAATCATTACTCAGCGGTCACTAATGCTGCATCTCTATATGGTTTTGTCATTGTTGATGATTACTCTCGATATACATGGGTACACATTGTTACTTACAAACATGAAGTGCAGGAAGTCTTCAAACGATTTTCCTCGAGGGCTTCAACCAACTTTGGTGTGAAGATCAAGCACATCAGGAGTGACAATGGAACTGAGTTCAAGAATTCCGGTCTTGATGACTATCTTGATGAACTTGGTATTACTCATGAGTTATCTGCTCCCTATACTCCTCAGCAGAATGGCGTCGTGGAGCGCAAGAACAGAACTCTTGTTGAGATGGCTCGCACTATGCTTGATGAATACAAAACGCCTCATCATTTTTGGATTGATGCAATTGATACTGCGTGCCACATCATCAACAGAGTATATCTTCACAAATTCTTCAAGAAGACGGCCTATGAACTCCTCACTGACAAGAAACCCAATGTGAGTTATTTCAAAGTCTTCGGTGCTAAATGTTGGATTAGAGATCCTCACCATAATTCTAAATTTGCACCGAAAGCACATGAAGGTTTTATGCTTGGTTACGGAAAGGACTCGCACACCTACAAAGTCTTCAACAATGCTCTTCACAAGGTTGTTGAAATTGTAGATGTGCGGTTCGATGAAACTAATGGCTCGCAAAGGGAGCACCTACCTTCTGTGTTAGATGAACCAGCACCTGAGGATTCTATCAAGTTCAAGGCAACTGAGGATGTCATTCCTACTGAAGAACTTGCTGAAGAATTCATTCCAGTACGTGAAGAACGTCGAGTTGATGCACCTGAAGATAATGCTGAAGAAAATGGTGCTGAAGAAAATGCTGACCAAATTCCTCAGTGACAGCCAGCTCATCCTCGCGTTGCAAAAGAAGTACAAGTTGACAAGATCATCGATGACATTGAAGCGCCAGGTCCTCTCACACGCTCAAAAGCTTCACATTTATCTAACTTTTGTGGGCACTATGCTTTTGTCTCTATCACAGAGCCCACTAAGGTAGATGAAGCATTTCTGGAGCCGGAGTGGATTCAGGCTATGCAAGAAGAATTACATCAGTTTGAGCTCAACAATGTCTGGGAACTGGTCAAACGTCCAGATCCTTGCAAGCATAATATCATTGGCACAAAGTGGATCTACCGCAACAAGCAAGATGAAAATGGCCTTGTGGTGAGGA